GGAGTTTCTCAGAATAGTGCCCCCAAAAACTGGTTAGTTTCTTTTTGGCTTCCCTTCTTCTAGTACCAGCAAAAGGGGGGTCAGACATCCGTTTTGAGAGCCACAGCGGCCCTTCAAAATGCACAACCTCTCTAAGAGCTCAATCATGTGTTGCAGCCAGTACCGTTGATCATTACATACATATATATATATATATATTGGTTTGTGATTGTGTTGAGGGGTACTCTTTTCACCTTGAAGGAGAACCAAAAGGGACGGCGAGTTTCTCTTTCTTGGCCCCCTCATAAATGGGTGTTTCTCAAAATAGGCCCTTAAAATGGATGGTCTCCTTCAGGATTGCTACTGTGGATGGACGCAATCCATTTCGCATCGCCTGAGAAACCATAGAATGATTCGATTCCCCTACCAACAAACATCGGTTTCAGCCATGGTTTTACAGTGCGAACGGATTTGGTCCATCCACATTATGAAACCACCCCAGTGGTGCGGTCTCGGAGTTGGTCCAATGTCTAGGAAACCACCCGTTCGGGATGCCCACCCCAACTCCCAGGTGGCGGTGCCCAGCACCAACTACTCCCAGGGGGTGGTGCATGGCCAAGATCCCGTGCTGGAGGAGGCGCGCGGCGCGGGGTCCAGTGGTTCTGGTGGATATTCGAGTGGTTTTCTGGTTTCCTTGTTGGTTTTGGTTTGGTTTGGCTGGTGTCTTTCCTTCCTTCCTTGTTGGTTATTTATTGCTTTCTTTCATGTCTTCATTGATTCACATTTCCCGATGTACTTATCCATTATGATTTCTGTCCCAATTTAGCTGTCTTGCTTTTGTTGTGGATGTGGTTCTATGCGTATGTTTTGCCAGTACTGGGCTCTTTCGTAGTTTCGTTCTTTCTTCTTCCCTGATTATTTGTTTCCCTACTCCTTCTTTATATTTCTCTTTCTTCCTGTCTTGATTTCTTTCCTGCTTACTTTCTTGCTGTCTCTCTGCCTTCCTTCAGCTTGTGGTTCTTTGTTTGTTTGTGTCTATGCAGCTTTGTGTGTTCTTGTTTGCTTGCCTGGCTGTTTGCCTGGCTGTTTGCCTGCCTGCCTGCCTGCTTGCTTGCTTGTTTGCCTGTTTGCTGGTTGGTTCGTTTGTTTTGATTGTTCGCTTGCTTGTTTTCTTACCTGCTTGTGTGATTGACATGTTTGTTTGTTTGTTTGTTTGTGTTTTCTCTGTGTTTGCTTGTTTGCTTGTTTGTTTGCTTGTTAGTTGGTATTGCTCTGTCTGTGTGTTTGTTTGCTTGTTTGTTTGTTTGTTTGTTTGTTTTCGGGTTTGTTTGCTTGTTTGTTTGTGTTGCACTGTCTGTTTGTTTGTTTGTTTGTTTGTTTGCTTGTTTGTTTGCTTGTTAGTTTGTGTTGCGCTGTCTGTTTGTTTGTTTGTTTGTTTGTTTGTTTGTTTGTTTGTTGGTTTGTCTGTTTGTTTATTTGCTCGGTTGTGTGTTTGTTTGGAATCGCCGGGTTGCATCGACTTGCTTGTTTTAGTGGTATAGCGTGGGATTTGATTGAATTGAGTTTGGCTTTGATTTGACTTGTTTGATTTGATGTGATTTGATGGATTGATTGGTTGGATGGTAGAGTGATTGATTTGATTGGATTGATTGGTTGGCTGGTTGGTTGGCCGGCTGGCTGGCTGGCTGGCTGGCTGGTTGGTTGGTTGATTGATTGATTGATTGAGTGATTGATTGATTGATTGGTTGACTGATTGATTGATCGGTCAGTCGGTTGACTGGTCGTTTGACTGATTCACTGACTGACTGGCTGAGTGAGTGTTTGGTTGGTCGGTTGGTTGGTGTTTGAATGTGACACTGTCGTGAGCTGAAAACCAAGTTAGCTTTTTCGCAAATCTGGCCAAAACAAACAGGCCTTTTGCTGGCCCCCTTTTAAAGTGGTGTTTGATTCTTTTGGGCAAAGATTCCCGGCACAGCTCCATGGGATAAATAGACTAATCGATAAATTAATAATTGCTCATACACAGATTGTTCAAAATCATAGTAATAATCATAACACCATACGTATGCATACCTCCACATGTCTACGACTGGATTCCACAGAAGGAGCTTCTGTCATTCTTTGTCCAGGCCAACTCTGTTCTGCAGCTCACAGATTCACCGGATGAGGCCTCGGGGGTATGGACAAGACGGGATGGCAAAGGGAGGATGGTTGAAATGCAGTTGGGTGAACTTCACCCATTAGAATACTTGCTGATTTGTGAATACAATTTAAATTATGAATCATGTTGGTGATTAATGTGATTCAACCAAGAGTGGCACATATCGTTCAGTCACGCCCTTTACATATACCCGCCCACATCTATCGGGAGCTCCCTGTTCGCTGACCTTCGGGCCAAGGTTCAGACCGCAACCCGGGGCCCGGTTCACGTCTTGCATGATCGTATCAGCAACCCTCGACTCGGAACCCTGGAAGCTTCGTCCCCAAAGCTTGAGAGACCCCCAAGCTTTCCATTGAGCGTTTCTCAGGTCCCCATGCGTGAGACACACTCGAAAGTGTACTTCGGTCTGGCACCTAAATCAGTCAGTCAAACCAATCCCATGCGTAGACTCACGAAGTCAAAGTCCAATCTGTGCAGAAGCTCAAGAGTGGTTGCGGGCAGGTTGGCTTACGTGACATGGGGGGAATGAGGCTGTTTGGTACTAAAAGGGGCAGGGTGTACTGGGGGCAAAACTATCTAGAAACCCTTCCGTACCGATTCAGGAACCCAGCAACAACCAGCAAAGAAGCTGCAGAAGCTCAAATGGCACGATTCAGCAACGATGATCATGATGATTCAACAACCAAAAAGGCCCGATTCAGCAACTACGATTCACAAGTTAAACATCTTGCAGCAACAACCCTTGGGCATGGCTGGGATGGGGGGGATGTTAAGCTTCGAGCCAGACATTCTAGTGCTTCGGGAAGGTTTCGAATCAGACCGTTTTGTTTGTTCCAATATCTGTTTGTGGAGTTTCGTAATAAGACTTTATAGTGTCCGAATACAACCGTTACATAGCATGCCCCTTCAAGTACCCGTTTGTGGGGACCGAAGGGAAACTACGAAAAACACTTCCCAGCTTCAGTTCCCCTTGAGGAAAGTCTCAAAGCAACCCAACCGAAGCCCATATGGCAGTGATGGGCAAAGCGGTGGTCCATGGTCGCCCTTTAATACAGCCCACATTTGGGTACACAGAAAATAACATGTGCAGACTAATTATTCCATAGCTTAGCCAAACTATAAGACTTTTGTTGAAGGAGACCAAAGTTAAGAGCGTCAACACAAGGTTGTTTAAGCAGTTTGGCGGTTTAAATCCTGGCTTGAAGCCGGGAAGCCCCCAAGTGATCTGGGTATGTGTCAATAAGGGCGACCTCCAAGTATTGGCTTTCCTTTTTGGTTTCCCTTGAAAACAATCCTACAACGCGCACCAAGCCCGAATGCAGTTGATCCTTCATGTCTTGCAGGGATGATATTAGCGCCTTTGTGAAATTCCTCTTGAACAACAGCCATACGGGATGTTGCATGAAATTCTGAAGGGGATATCTGCTGCACCCTACGATAAAATGAATCTGCACGATCATAGATTGTTAACAGGCGATTTGGGCACCACGCTACGCTCATCGTTGACCATGGATGAAAAATACACAATCTTGACGATCCCCATGAAAACCAGCAGTAGGTTTGGGGTTGGCGGTCGTGTTTTGTTTCTTCTTGCCCTTGCTTACGTGACTCTAGATATGATTCCTCCGTCATGGCCTTCAGTTGGCATCTCTCTTTCTCTCGCTCTCTCTCGCTCTCTCTCTCTCTGTCTCTCTCTCTCTCTTTGACGTGGATTTGCTGTGTGGAGAATTAACTTTCGGTGAACGTTTACTGTTGTTAAGGAATACTTACAATCACGCTGGTTTGGGGATTTGAACCCCTAGTTCTTGTAGAGGGCAAATGGGGTTCGCCCCTCCATTTCACGACCAAACCACCGGACTCGAAACCACCCGTTTTTGGAGGGAATCCATTCCATTTTGAGATCCCCCAAATGTTCCTGGCCTGCTTCAGATGCAGCTGGTGCAGCGCTTCCTGCAGCGCCACGGCTCCCGGCGCTTCAAACACGCCTGGCGCTGAGATCGAGACGCCCACGTTTGGGAGATAGCATCACCCCCTTGAAGAAAATTTAAGGGTTGGTATTTTTTTGGGAGGGTACCCCAAAAAGGGGGTGGCTTTCCTTTTTGTTTCCCTTTGAACCAACCCCAAAAAGTGTACCCTCAAAAAAAAGACACCCATTTTAAGTGAGTTTCCGTTAAGGGTGAGGTTTGACGGGCAAGTATAGGGATCCCTGTTGAGGAGTGTGTTTTCTTTGAGGTAAAGAGGGGCCAAAATGCATCCAGTACCAAGGACCCGTAGCCTTAGGGATTCACTCTGCAGTACGCCGCAACCTTTCAGCACTGCTTGCGCGTACCCTCACTCTTGTTGCACGTCGCCTCGCGCCATCGTGTATCTTGTTTGCGTGGACCAAATTGCGCCCTGTGTGGTGCCACAAATGCATTTTTCTCGAGTGTGAAGGCGTGTCGTCATGCTTTCGCTTGAGTATGAGAGTATTCCGCTTCATATCTGCAGAGCACGCCCATCTGGGTGTTTTCTTGAGGCTCGGCACCTTTTTCACCTTGGTTTGGAGGGACACCAACAGGAAAACCCACCTATTTTGGGGTTGCCCTGATGTTTACAACACATACCATTTGTGTATTTTTCCCTGCTGGTTGCGGATCTTGCCTCCTTTGAATGGGTCGTTCCTAATCAATCCTTATATAATTGTTTGGTTGGATGAGTCAGTGGTGCTATGGATCACATAGGAGATCCCCCCCTTTTAAGAACCCAGTTTGAAGTTTGCCGCGATAACCCACCTGACCCTTCCGAGGTCCTCACGAAGGAGGGACTGAGCCTGCAAGCGAAATGAGCCCCGAAGGGCGCGAGTGATCCGGCAGACGGATGTGGTAAAAAGCGAGCGCCTCACTGGGGCTCGTTTGGGATTACTGGGCTGTCTCGTAACAACAACTATAACAACCCTCTAGTTTTGGAGGGAAACCTTCACTTTTGGGGAGTTATCCGGGGTCAACAGTACTACTCAATTCCCCAGTTTCTAGACTTTAATCTTTGTTGGGAAGATGTTCTGACCCATCCTGAGACTACCTTGTGGTGCAAGAGCAATCATGTGTTGGATCTCCCTCCCGGTGAAAGCGTTATATTCTGGGAGGCATGGCAAACGTTCTGGATGGAGCGAGCTTGTATGGAAGCATAACTGACTTCTTTCATTGCGTGTATGTTGTTTCTGAGGGTGTCTCGGGATTGCAAGGAAACCACAGGAACACCCATTTGGGGATTGGGGGGTTCTATTTTTAGAGGGACTCCTTTTCTTTTGTTTTATTTGTATTTTTTGGGGAGACACTTCTGCTTGTTCCTTTGGAAGGCTTATCCATTCTGGGTCACCATGACTGTGTATCCTGGTAGTTTGGCGCTCTTCAAACGGGGAGCCCCCGCTTGTTGCTTCGGTGGGTCGGTTGGTGTAAGGGAAACGTCACGCACAACCAATGACCTGGGCCCAAGCCTGGGGCAGTGTACCGTGGCTGTTTGAAGGCGGTCGATACTCGGTCCCATTTGTGGCATGCTCAAAACACCCGGTTACTTGGGATCGGGACTGCCCATATAACATTCGTCGGAAAGGGAATGGCCGACACTTGGGGTGACCAAAGTTTGGGATCTCAATCTGTCAACATGTCCAGTCTGTAGGAGGACACCTCTGTTTTTTTTTTTTTGACAGGCCCCCGCCGGTTCCCCGTGTCCATTCCCTCCAACTCCTTTTTGCTTTTCTTTTTTTGGGGGGGGGGAAGTGTCCTTCCATGAAGGCAGATGTCTGGAGTCTTGGGAGGCGGGACTTCCTCTGGATGCCGACTACTACCTGGACCACCAGCCGGGAGTCCGGGAGTGCTCAGAGATCCCTCAGCCAAGTTTTCAGCCGATTCCCCCCGCCCCGCAGCTTGGGTTCTCAGGGTGAAAGTCCGGGCTGGGGGGCGGGTGGGCTGTTTTTTCTAGTGTATCTTTGGAGGGGGGGGGTAACTCCGTTAATATTCAAGTTTCGATTGGGGCCAGGCGATCCCCCCCCAAAAAAAAGGAAGAAGAACATAGGTGGCCCTTTTGTCCAACCTGAAAATCCACTGGATGTCTGCGGATTTAGTTCCTGCAGTTGCAGGAAACAAGCGTGTGTGTGTGTGTGGCTTCATAAAGGGGTTCATAGGCCTTTAGCCGTATGCACAGCTCCCAAAGATTGAGCAAAAGGGACCACCGTATGGCAGTATGGTTTAGCTCTGTGGATTTCACCTTTCTGTTTTTGTTGGTGGCTTTCCAGATTTTCAATCCCGAGGCTAGGGTCACTGAATTGGGGTGCCCAAAAGGGGTCCTCGTCAGCTTCTGGGCGATGGGCAGACGAACTCTCGGAGCATATGGCCGAACACGTTCGGCCAGCCATGGAACTGGAAACAATCGGATTCCGATGGCTTGCACGCAATCATGTGGCATCCTAGGGCCCATTTGTCACAACCCAATCAGAGTCACCCAACACAAAAAATGACCCCTACCACAAGTTCCCCGGAACGGGTCAAGGCACATGTCGTCAAGTTCTACGCAAATTGTTCCTTGAAGTTTGGATCATGGAGTTGTCCAAAGGGCACGCCTGAGCCCTCCGAACCCGGGGCTTTTTAGACTTGTGGGTTCGTCTCAGCTCCAAATCGGAGGTCTCCCTTTGGCTTCGCTTTATATAAGAATACTCTAAAAGGGGCACCCATTCGAAAACAGAGATAGCCTTGCCAAAGCCAGGCATTCAGCTTCCGAAGTCCCCGCCTCTGTGGCCATGCCTACCCGTAAGTTGCAAACTCGCAGACTGGATTTTGAAGTTATCGAGTTGAATCTGAAGACGTCAGCATAAAACCCACTTGACGCCCTCACCTGGATGCTAAATTCCTGGGTCGAGCTTCCTGGATGCCCAGGTTGAAGCAACCTTTGCGCGGTGCCAAGTGTTGGGTTTGTCCTGAGAGCTGGCATCCCATTTTTGGATAGTCCTAGAGCGAAACCAAAAATGAAGACAAGCATTTCTGGGGTCCCCTATTTTGGACGCAACTCATGATGTGGCTATGAATTTCAATGGGGAACACCCTAGAACGTGGTTGGCGGTTTGCGTGTTGAAAGAACTGGATTTTGGGGCACACCTATCACGTTTCACACCATGGGCCCCGAGACAGTATTCTATGCGGGCCTCAGCACGACCATTGTCATGGGGGCTTCAGGCACACTCTTCACCCCTGTCAAACCGTCTTGATTTATGTGTCCAGAAACAGGCTGGGGTTTAGACGAACGAGCCTGTGATGCTCTTTTGAGCCAAACACGAGTCGGCACGGGTACATTCAAAAGGGAACAAAAGGGGACCGAACCAGATTTCAGTAAAGGACGGATCAGGTGAATCTAAAGACCATCCGTGTGGAAAACAACACAACAACATCCGTGCTGGATGAAAGCTGAGAGCCAATTCCGGCCACGATGTGTTGCCAATCGCTGAGTGTTTGCTGTGTCTCTTGCTTGGCCGAGCGGCCAACATCTCCATGTGAGTGCATTCAAAGAAATACAGTCATTGTTTGCTTGCTTTCTTGCATGCGTGTTTGATTGTTCTGTTGCTTGATTGGCTGGCGCGCTGGCTGGCTGGCTGGCTGGCTGGCTGGTTGGTTGGTTGGTTGGTTGGTTGGTTGGTTGGTTGGTTGGTTTGGTTGCTTTTGTTTTTGTTACTGTTTGTTTGTATGTTTGTATGTATGTTTGTATGACTGTCTGTCGGTCTGCCTGTCGGTCTGTTTGTCGGTCTGTCGATGTGTTTGTCGGTCTGTCTGTCGGTCTGTCTGTCGGTCTGTCGATCTGTCTGTCGGTCTGTCTGTCTGTCGGTCTGTCCGTTTGTTCATCTGTCTGCCTATCTGCCTGGCTGGCTGTCTGCCTGTCCTGTCTATCTGTCCTGCCCTGCTCTGTCCTGCCCGGTCCTGTCCTGTCCTGTCCTGTCCTGTCCTGTCCTGTCCTGTCCTGTCTTGTCTTGTCTTGTCTTGTCTTTTCTTGTCTTGTCTTGTCTTGTCTTGTCTGTCTGTCCGTAGGTCACACTATCCAGGGCATGTCCTTGCAAGGATCCAGAGTATGTATTGGTGAGAAGGTTAAGAGGGACCACCCAGAAACATGGTTGGTGGACACAGCAAGCCATGCACTTCTGATGTCCACCGGATATGACTTATTTGTATTTTTGTTCCTTTCAACGTTGTCACGAATTACGAAAGCGGACAGGAGAGTTTTTGAAGACTACCATCCTCTTGGGAAAAAAGAACTAAAACACTTTTTGCACTTCCATGATTGGCTGGCTCGTTTTGGTGGACGAGCCAATGACATAATGATCAGGACCTATCTATTTACCACAAGAGAAGCAAAGGAGAGGCTGCCATTCGCCAGCTAGATCTGAAAATGGGCAGGGTCTCAGATTGTTGCTCTTTGCGCTTACGTGAGGCTTCGTGTCTTCGAGCCAGTGCTGGCGAATCACGAGATGAAGGGCAGTGTGGAGCGGTGGGGTGGGCGTGGTGGATTGAAGGCAAACCTCATATTTTTTTGGAGGGCGCCTGTTTCGGGGTTGGTTCAAGGGAAACCGGAAGGAAAACCACCCTGAGGAGGGTCTGACACATACCCATTCCCAAAAATGTGTTTGGGTTGCTCCGAACCAAACCAGACCAGACTTTGGAGCCAACCCTTATGGGCTTCGGCATCCCAAACGGGGCACCCTCAAGACGCAGATCTGGAGGCATAGTGCCAACAAGATGGATATTACGAAGACCCTTGATATTTTACAAGATGATCCAGTGATTGATGGCAACAACAGTTAGGGTAGGCCTTGCCCATCTTTTTGTGGTACCCGAGCGTGACCCCCACCCTACGCAAGAACAGCATTTTTCAACCATTTTTTCACTATTCAAATCGTCATCCTTATTCATTATGCATATTTCCACTCAAAACATTTCATAACAGTCTCAACCTCAAAATCCATCAAAAAAGTTACATTTTTCTCATTTTCTATTCCATCATTCTTGTCATTGTTAGGATGCTTGAGTGGAAATAGGAGTATAGGGTGGTTCATATGATATGGTTATTGATGGTAGGATGCATGGGCAAGGTTAAGCTCATTCATAAAAAAAAAATCAAAAATAATATTGTTAAACAAAATATTTTCAAAAATAATATTTCTCAAAAAAATAATATTTCTCAAAAAAAATAATATTTCTCAAAAAAAATAATATTTTCAAAAAATATATTTTCAAAAATAATATTGTTCAAAAAAATAATATTTTCAAAAAATATATTTTCAAAAATAATATTGTTCAAAAAAATAATATTTCTCAAAAAAAAATAATATTTCTCAAAAAAAAATAATATTTTCAAAAAAAAATAATATTTCTCAAAAAAATAATATTTTCAAAAAAAAAATAATATTTCTCAAAAAAAGTAATATTGTTAAAAAATATATATTTTCAAAAATAATATTTCTCAAAAAAACAAATATTTTCAAAAAAAATATTTTCAATAAATAATATTTTCAAAAAAAAGTAATTTTTCAAAAAATAAATTTTCAAAAATATTATTCCAAAAATTATGATAAATTATCTTACAATATTTTTATCATAAATTTTGTAGAAATATTATGGGCAAGGTTAGGTAGTTAGAATTTTATAACTTAAGTTCAGGATAATAATTCAATTGATGACCATTAAATTGTGTATATATCGTATCTCTTTCATGCATTATTTTAAAAATAATATTAATATCTCTCACTGTATTTTGAACATTAAACTTTTTAATCGCCATGGGTAAGAAGCAAGGCGGTGCATCCAACAA